CACCCTCTCTGAGCCCCAAGTCCAGTGGGAAGAGGCATCCTACAAGAGGGGAAGCAATAGTGTTCTGGACCAAGCTAGTAGGAAACCTAATCTGATCTCAGCATTCTCACCTCAGCTCTATCCCTCACTGACCATGTTTTCTAATCAAGAGGGCTAGATGGATGAAAGTCCCTTTAAACTCTAACATTCCACAACACTCTGAGAATTTGTACTCATGAGGGAATTTACTTGGATTCAAATCCTACCAAAACTTCCTAAAGTTCCAGTTCCCTAAATCTGAAGGTCAGAACCCAAAGGTCACAAAACACACAAACCTCACATAGTTAAAATGGGAACAGGAATCAGTGACCCCCAAATGTTATGCACTGCAGCAGCCAACAGCTAGAAAACTCAGGGAGGGAAATCCAAAATCATGGTTGCTGAGGCTGTTACAAATACCAGAGAACAAACACAGTTTCTTGGGGATGTCTCTCTTCCCTGAAAATGTCTATCTCACACTGAAGAAAAAAGGAATATTTACATGTACTGTTGTCTCTGGAAGTGCTCGGACCAACCATAGAGTGAAAGAAATAGTAGGCAATGCAGCAATGCTGAGATCTCTCAGGAAAAAAATCACTAATTTATTCATGTCATAAACAAAAACATCCCTGATACTCATAAAACAGAAGCAGTTTCATGGACAAGAAGAAAAATTTCAGGAGAGATGAGGTCATACATCTAATGGCAGCTTTGGTACAAGCTCCAAAGGTGACCTGGCCAGGGCCTTCCAGACCTCTTTGGGCCTTAATTTCCTCATCTGTAGAATGGAGACAACAATGTCTGCTCTGCTTACCTCATAGGTGCTTATTAGGATCAAGGGGAATACTGAACACAAGGGCATTCTGTAGACAGCAGACTATGTGTGTGTGCGTGTGTAAGAACAATTATTAATAAAGGAATTTCAAAGAAAAGCTAAGAATGGTGCTTCTCAAGACCTGACAGCAAAAGGAAATATAAATATAGCAGTGATTTTACAATTTCATAATCTGGGAGGAAGAAATGGTGATCAGAGCTGTGACAAACAATGATGCCCAAAAGAGAAGAGAAACCAGCTCAGCTCTGTCATAATTGTCTCAGTTCCTGTAGCACATACAACAATGGAAAGACCGCAGGGAGGGGCAGGAGCAGCTTTTGCGACTGTGGCACCCCGGGAACCTGGAGACACTGGACCAAAACATGGACATTTCCACCTCCATAATTAAAATAATCTCACAGTGTGGTTCTCTAAGAATTTTTGTGTGACTTCACCAGTTTTTCAGCCGTATCTCTTGGAAAACAGAAACAATGATCATAACTCAGAAGTGAAACATAACGCTGCTAGTTCTTTAAAGTAGTACAACTGGAGGGCATGAAGCCAGCTCTAGGTTTGCTCACCTGATGGACAGAAATACAAAGGCAGATTCTGCCCACATCTGGACTGCAGGGCCCGAAGAGCAAGACAGGACCTCAAGGGCATAGACAGGAGGTGGAGGCAACCTAAGCAGTAGGTCATCGTAGCCGAAACCACTCGACACTGAGGCAAAGCGGTCCCCCATCCTCACTCTACTGGCAAGGAGCCAGGCTAGGACGCAGGTTAAGACATAAGCTGAAAATCAAGTCCCCCACCGCTGGGCGCAAAGTCACAGGAGGAGTTACGATTCAGGAAGCAAGATGATGCCCTCTTGTCGGCATTGGGCAGGAGTTATCACAGAGGCCTCCGGGGCCTTGAGATATCAGGTGGCAAAGAGAAGAAATAAGCAAAATAAATCAAGCCTACCTGTAATTCACTGAAGAGAAGACCTCAGTGGCAAACAAATACAGCCAAAAATAAATAAACAAAAACAAAGCACATGCCCATGCACAACTTCAATAGCAGTCGGGAAAATGCAGATTAAAGCAGCAACTACATACTACTTGTCACACACAGACTGGCAAGAAGTTAAAAGATTCATCAAATTCACTTTGGGATTAGATGTGTGGGAAGCTAACATTCACAATAATATGTCTTTTCTCATAAACAGATGTGTTCTGTATTTGTGTGTTGGGCATATGACTTGTCTATGGCTACTTCGGTGCTACAGTGGCAGAGCTGAGTGGCTGTGACAGAGACCACCGGCCTTCAGAGCCTAAAATACTCACTACCTGGCCTTTCACTGAAAAATTCTGCAGTCCCCAGTCCTAAATGAAAAAGTGTTATTGCTTTCGATTGCTACAGATATAATGAATCTGTTATTTTTTTCTTAAACCTTTTACTATTTTTTAACATGACCTTTCATGCATAGCAGGGTCTGTTTTGGTACATATTCCTGTAAAACTCTTTTTCATTAGTGTCTACCAATTATCCCAGAGCCATTTGAATAATCCTTCCTTTCTAGGATGTTTCGAGGTGGTCCCTTCAGGCATAGTCCACTCCACATGCAACTGATCTGTTTCCAGGTGTGTTATGTGACACAGTGGTCCCACCTAGTCCATCCCAGTACATCACCATTTCAATTAGGGTAGCTTTACAATGTGCTATAGCATCTCACCAGCTGGTCCCTGTTCCCCATTACTCTGCTTTTCACATTTCTCTTAGCTATTCCGCCTGCTTTTTATCAAAATAATTTTGTGTTCTTTTGTTAATATTCAAGAACAATTAACTTGAAAGTTGTCTTGAGATTACATGAAATCTCAAGGAAAACAACTACTTAATAACCTTTCTATTTTTGTTTAGGAATAAGATACACCTTTCAATTAATTCAAGGGGTCCTTCATATGACTCAAAACGTTCTAGAACCTCTTTATACAAGCCATGCACAATTCTCATTAAAATATTTACTCTTTGTTTTGCTGTGAATAGCTTCCCAAAGATTGCAAAGTATTCATATTCCAATGCCAAATACAAAATATACCTAGAAATGAGATGTGAAGCGACAGACATGTTTAACCTTACAATAACCAAAGAAATGCTAATACCAAAAAAATCAATGTATCTAGTGCTGGCACGATTGGGAGATACTGACTCACACATTCCTGCTGCAGAGTTAAAGAAACATCTTGTTTAGAAAACGTCATCAGCAGGTTTGAATGACCATAAAATGTTAACCTCTGGCCCTAATATTTAAAACCGCCAACATCATATTCAAGACTTTGATGGACTAAGTTATATTTATGCATAAAACTGTTAATCATAGCAATATATGAAAACAATGAAATAATTAAGACATGGTATAACCACTCAATGAAATATTAAACAGATATGAAAATTTTAATCATTCAAGAATATGCAGCAGTATAGAAAATGCTTAATGTACCATGCCAAGTGATACACAGCACCATGGTAATTTATGCTAATAGCTAAAGATTGGAAGGAAACACACACACACACAAAATAACTGCCCCTGTATCAAGGTGGTGGAATTATGGGTAATACTTTTTTCTACTAAATGCTCTGAGTTGGACAGAAAGTTACAAGATTATTTGTACAATTTTTTTATGAAGTGGAGACCAATTTTTAAGTGCCTTCCAGATCTAAGATTTGCAATTCTTTTTCTGTTAAAGGGGGAAAAATGAGGCTCAGGCATGTGAACTGATTTTATGAGGTCCTACAGAGGAGTCCCAGGCAGCGCTGGGACTAGAACCCAGGACTCCAGGCTCGAGAAGCAGTATTCCTTCCTGTATAGTATTTGTGTTGTCATTTTTCTAAGGGCTAACAAACTCTGGGGTCATTTTAATATCTTCATATATAAGTTATAAATAAATACATGAAAATAACAATGTTCAATTACTGCTCTAAGATAGCAATGGCTATAAAAATCCTACAAAATGCTTTGATGTGCTGGAGCTTGAATTAAACAACTTTTCTAAATAAGTCTATTCAATGGAGTAGAGGACATCAAAGTGTCTCTTCTACAAAACAGTCATTTCCTCATCAAGTCATAAAGCAATTTTAGTGCTAAGTTAAGAATTAAGTTAATATAAGGTAAATTTTGGCACTGCACATCAACTTTAGAACCTACAAAGTTTCAACTTGCAGTATTATCACTCCAGGGGAAAAAATTCCTTCAAAATTAAAAGCTAATGAGAAGCTATTTCCTTGACTTTTCTCACTGCAGCCTGACAACAAATTTGGCAGAAGAGGTGTTTAGATACCTATATACACAATGGATAACCATAATTAGTGTCTAGTATTCTATTGTGCCTAAAGATAACATTTGGAGCCCATATGTATTCACTGTGTTTTGAATTTTGAGGGGTTCTAATTAGATCCCAGTGGAGGTAATATTTTGAAAGGAACAACATAAAAGAAACCATCAGATAAAAGATAGTCAAGAATAAATGGTTAATAAGGCAAAGAGACTGTGTATGCTTGTGTGCATGTGTATGTTTGTGATTTCAGCGCTACCTATTGAAAGCATACTTTCTAGGAGTCTGATCAACCACCTCCAGTGATGGGTGAGAGAGTTTCCTATTTCCTGATTGCAACAGGCCTTTCTCTTAATGCCTGTGGTTTACGACATAGTAACACCATCAAATATCAATCATCAATCATCCCTCATAATATTTTTTTGTTCACCTTCTGAAAAAAAGCATACATCCTTCATTCCTCTTTGCTATTATTCAAATCATGATAAAATAAAAACTGCAGGGCTGGGATAAAAGCTGGGATGAGGCAGAAGCCAGGTAAGATAGTGGGGGGCAGGAGAGTGAAGGACAAAGGGGAGTCAAATATATGGTGACAGAAGATTTGACATTGGGTGGTAAGCATACAACACAATATACAGATGATGTACTAAACACTTGAAACCTATAAAACTTTATTAATAGCACCCCAATAAATTATGTAATAAAAAATGTAATGCAAAAGAAGAATCATCTTGGCAGAAAGTTAGAACTTGAGGGTTACAGATACAGTGAAAAATGAGTATACTGGCAATTTCCTGAGCATCTCCACTTAAGTTTACTCTTTTCTTCTCACAAACTTCTAATACATGCTTTTATACCTTTAATGTTGAAAGTGTCCTGGCCCAGCAAGTGTTAGACCTCCCACTGAAGATGTCTGTCTCCTCAACCAGAGGCAAAGCTTCCCTGGAGATGGGAAACACTCCTTAATCATCTTTTTAAGACACAAAACATCTTACACAGTGCCTGGTACAAAAAATTAATTTTATTAAATAAACCGTATATCTATTTATACCAAACCATGATAATGAGGTAAGAATAAAATAGAAAATATTGAGAATAATATTTACTTACAAAATTAATTAAAATGCATTCTATGTGTTCATGAAGCCTATATTCAACATAATAAAATAAACTTACTAACTATTCTAATAATACCTGGCAAAGTATTTTCTATGTCTGGTATCATTCCTGATTATGTCTAGGAACCAATGTGCCACAACAGGATAAAAAAGAGAGTGCAATTTGAGCTAGAATAAAATAGAATTATATTCAAAAGTAGAATACTCATCAAATTTTAATGGCACAAAAGTCAGTAATTTCATCCTAAAAAAAAATTTAAACAGCAAGAAGATGCTAAACAGCAGTGAGCATCATTGGAAAGCACAGAATGGGCATGTTTCATGAACCAGCAACCATACTGACTTGAATCAAATATACAGGAACCCTTTTGAGGCCTTCGTGTTCTCTGTTATACCTCCACACAACTACAGAGAATGGTGCAAACAATTTCAGGAAGCTCATGGACCACTAACCCTTAATTTAATAGCCCTTTACCAGATGGCCATTAAAATCTCTCCTCTTGCAAAGTCCTGTAACATGAGCAGTTCAGAAACAGGCAATGAGTGATTCCTCCAGGTTTCAAGGAATGCAAACATAGATCAACCACACTCGAGATACTGATGACTTCCATTTGATTGTCAGGAATCTGACAACTGAATATAAGGAATACATCCAAGGCCCTGAGTCCAAAGGAAACCTGAGCATACTAAGACTCTGCTGTGGATTGAATGTGTCCCCCTTACATTCATACACTGAAGCCTTAACTTCAAATGTGATAAGGTCTTTGGGAAGTAATTAGGTTATGATGAGTTCACAACGATAGGGCCCTGATGATGAAATTAGTGCCCTTATACAAAAAGACATCAGAGAGCTGGCTCTCTTTCCCCTCACCATATGAGCACATAGTGACATGGTGGCCTTCTCCAAGCCAAGAGGAGGTGTCACCAGAACCTGACTATACTGGCACCCTGATTTCAGACATCCAGCCTCCAAAACTGTGGAAAAAATAAATAAATTTCTGTTGTTTAAGCCACTCAGTCTTTGGTATTTTGTTATGGCAGCCTGCACTGACTAATACATACTCTGCACCAAAAATAGCACATTACAGGGTCCTGCAGAGACAATCAAATGGGACAAAGGGGCCTATTTCTTCATGATGTAATAATACACACACACACACAGTGGATTTTACTATGAAAAGTCTGCCTCATCTCAAGTGCTCAAGGAACAGCATTTTTAAATATAATCTATAAAGGCTTTTTTTTTTTACATGCTTCTAACAGTTTAAAAATAACTGCTTGGAAAAAGTCACCTGTGCTTTTTCTACCTGTTCCACCAAACAAGTATATAAAGTAAGAGGCTGTGAAATATGAAGAAATAGTCCTTGCCAGTTAGATGTTCTCGATTTCACATGTGGCTCTCCACTAACAACCTGGGCGACCTTACTGTTTAATTATCTCTTTTTTTCCAAATTACACACATTGAGTTATATTACTCTCCTTTTGAAGACACCTGTATCCTGAAAAAGTACAAATTATTCCTATTTCCATAATCTGCTACCAAACTATATTTCCAGCTACTTCACCTATAATATCCCCCAAAGGTCCTACTCTGCAGATCCAATGTTCTATGTTCAACCTAAAACTACAGCCCATATTTTCTCATGAAGGTTATTCTCTTGGCTCACTATCCTGCATCATTTTGGGGTAAACTTCCTTCATTATCCACCAATCAAAATCTAGCCCTGGCCAGGTAGCTCAGGTGGTTAGAACATCATCCCCACATGGCAAGGTTGTAGGTTTGATCCCCAGTGAGGCCACACACAAGAATCAACCAATGAACACATACATAAGTGGAGCAGCAAGTCGATGACTCTCTCTCTCTTCCTCTCTCGCCCCCCCCTTACTCCCAAAAATCAATCAATAAAAAATTTAAAAACAAATCATACCAGAGCATGGATTAAACTGGAAAATATTACAGGAAGTGAAAGTAACCAGTATGATTCCACTTAAATGAAATGTCCAGAATAGGCAACTCTAAAGAGCAGAAAGTGGATCAGTGCCTGCTTATGGCAGGTGAAAGGAGGTTTGGGGAAATGAGGAGTGAATGCCAATGGGTATGGGGTTTCTTTCTGAGATGACAAAAATGTCCCAAAGTTGATTTTGGTGATGGTTGTACAACACTGTAAATATAATAAATCCCATAGACTTGTACACTTTAAAAGAGTTAATTGTATAATATATGAATTAGAGCTCAATAAAGCTATTATTTAAAAATAGAAAAGAAGACTTATCCATCCATTGAGGTTCTTCAAATGTTATATGAATGTCTTCTCCTCACTCTATCAGTTAAAATCCTTCTCTGGAGCCCCCTCAGAATGTTATTTATACCTTTATACCTCTGGTTATCATATTTCATTCTTGTTGGCAACATAATTGGGTTTCGTTATTCCCTGTCTGCCTCCCACACTGTAGTATGAGTGCTTTCAGAGAAAAACAAACGTGTGTCAGACACTTCCACACCAGGCCTCTCTAACCATTAGATTCTTTTGTGTACATTAGGAAAATTCAACCAGTCTCATCCTGGTGACTGGGGGGAGGACAGGGTTTGAATCCTACCCACCCTCTGGCCCTGGAGCAGGGCATCATCTGAATGGCAGGGAACAGCAGCTCTGCCGACACCCTTCTGCTGCTCTCCTCCCCCCACAGTCCAGTAAAGCGATCCATGGGAGGCACTCTCAATGGAACACGTAAAAACATATAAAAACATGTGGAACAAAACGAGTATGTCTGATACCATTTCTTACAACTAGACACTCTGACACTCCAGCAAAAAGCTCAAGGCATTCATATTTGGGTTTTCCTGTACCAGTTGTTTATTTTTGCGTTACTTACTGACATGAAAAGTGTTTTTCTTACTAACTGGACTCAAAGGCTTCAGGTGTACAAATGAAACATAGTGAGTTATTTTAACACATTTAGGTAGTAAGGAAACACAGAAGGTTTTTTTTGGAGTCAATTTACAATTACTAAAAGAGGTTATAATACTATCCAAGTCCACCACTTATAGAAGGGACAGGAAGAAAATATACTGAAAGGAGTTTTATCGTTAACCCAGCTTCTGAAAGTTCTCTCTCAGCTGCCACAAGCGCGGAGTGCTGATCACCTTCCCCCGTGTGTGAGAGGTGCCTATGTCCCAGCCCGTTGCCCTGTGCCCGTCGTCACCTGGCTACCTCCACTTTGTTCAGGAAATGTGCCTGGCCCCACAAACTAGGCCAGAAAAAAAGAAGAAAAATAACGTGATTTAATTTTCCCAAAATACCTTGTGGCACCTAACACAACCATAATTACATAATTACCTGTGAAATTATGAAGGTGGTGCTTGCCACTCCTAGACCAGGAGCCCTGTGATGGGAGGGTCTATACCTGGCTGGCAGCCACGGTTCTGGTTAGGGGCCAGAACCTGGCCATGGTGGGCACTCAAGAACTACTTGTTGATTGAATCAACAAATTCTCCCCACCATACTATACTGCCTTAGAGTATTAATAGGTCCTTGAAAGCAAGGATTATGCCTAATTTATTCTGGTATTTCTATTACGCCTGGCTCAGTGTCTGATAGGTTATATCAAAGAATTTATATGTAGATGAGTAAATAAATGAACTTCATAGTGGATCAATTATAGGATTAGCGAGGCTATTCGTGGCGCAATAATAGTAAAATAAGCACATTGAGTGGATTAGGAGTTAAAGTCAACCCTCCAAGAAAGCTGGTCCCAATAATAGATCTTGGAACAGCACCACACAAAGAAGGAAGACAGAGTCAGAGATGAAAGATGTCCATGGATTTATGTCAATTTCCTTGGGCTCCAAGAGTCAATTTTCACCCTATTTCAATGGGTGTGACTCTTTCCCAGATGCAACTGGGCTACAAATCTCATGTTGTATCCAAGCAAAGCCCAAGAAAACCAAGCCTTTAGTAAAATAAAATAACGGCAAAGTGAAAAGCAGCTGCAACAGCCAGAAGACTCGTAAAACTCAGCAGCCCTAGGGAAGTCGGAGTGAACACGCATGCAGAAAACAAAGGGCTGCAACTTGAAACTCGTCTCCCCTGTGGAGACTTGTCCAGAGTTGCACCTCAGCAGCCTCCTCCAGGGGTTTTTGATGTGAAAAGGTCATTTTGCCAAACACAGTTTTGGTAGACGCCAACAGCCGACCTCCTGAGGCATTCAAAGAATCTAAAGTTTGGGCAGAAAACAAACTGTGCACTTAAAGGAGGACACTAGCAAGTGCTAAGACATGAGGAATACACACTCCAGTACTGAAAACCTGCAGTCAAGACACAGAAAATCTAACTGTGGAGTTAAATGTCAACAACACCAAAACCTTACAAGCTAAATGACAATCATTGATGATGATTAGATGGGGAGCCTGACAATGTGCCCCATCTGGGATCACTGACGAGTTCTCCAAATCTATCTACCTGCCATCATTCTAGGGCACTGGAGCAAGGTTTGAATCCTGGCTCCACCACAATTCCCTGGCTGTGCAGCCTTGGGAAACTTACATGAGCTCTCTGTGATTTTGCGTGAACTCATCTGTAAAATGAAAATTATGATAGTCCTCAATGAAATGTGATCTCTAATTAATAATCAGTGGCTAAGCCTGTGAGGGCCAAAACTGTCCTGTACAAATGCCAGAACAGAGGGCCCTTACATTCATCTGGAGTCCAGTGCTGCTTTTACAAAGAGTACCACTCAGGCCCAGGGAAGGGAAAGGACCATGGAGTAAATCACTGGCCGATCCAGGAGGGCAGCCAGGCCTGGTGATTGACGATGACTGGTGCT